GGGGGGGGGGGGGGGGAGGAGGAGGAAGAGGGTAGGGAGACGCACGGCCCTTATTTTCCCGATAAAAGCGAGACACGTGGCACATAACTATATATATACTTCTATAGTCATAAAACTGAAGATTCGCGAAAGTCGCGTGGAGAATTTTCGTGCTACTTGCGTGCTATTCCCGACACGCTCATTTTGGTACACGGTAATAACGCAGGACGAGATAGCCCAGGGTACGGAAAACGATCAGGAACGCCAGGAGTACCGCCGTGTTCGCCCAAAGTGGTAGACTGGAGCCCCTGACCCCGCCTTGACTCTCCAGAATCGCGTCAACGGGTATCGTCGTGCCGTTTCTGCACTCAGCGAATTTACTCGGCTGCGAGCATCTGTCATACAAAAGATTATGCGCTATGATCAGTATAGCGTTGCTTGACACACCGGATTTTACATTTCACTATTATATGTCTTTGGTATATTATATATGTAATAATTATATAATTATAACGACACGTTATAATAGAGCAATTTAATCGATATATAATTAAAATTTATAATCATATACATTGTATATTATTTTCTATTTGCATCGATTTTTATTTTTATTTTTTTATGTTCTTCGAAATATTTTCAACGTAATACTCTGTCTTTCGTGAGAGAAAAAAACGTAGAATTGTTTTTATAAATTGTACACGTATCGTTAAATCATTTTGTTGTATATAATCTTAAATTCATTTCACTCAATTACAAATTATATTTTTATTGATTATATTTAATTATATTTAATTAATTATATTTTTCATTGAAAGGAGAATCCTTTTAGTAATTTTACATTCTGCGTTCGATAAAGTTTCATTCATTTGTAAAATTTTGATAATCAAAAAATCAGGCGGCGGTAAACGAAAAATATAGCCTTACGTGATCGGTGCGCCGTAGTCGAACTCCAGAATTTGCATATTCTGATAGGCGTAGTGCACCATGCTGACGTATCTGGCCCATGCTAACCACGGTGGGACCGACGTCGCCAAATAACCGCCCAGGAGTTGCGTCGCCAGCGTGTAAAGCGCGGACGCGGTGATGCTCACCTGCAGATCCAGGCAGCAAGCGCCCACGAAAAATCCAACGCTCTGCAAAGCAGATAGAAATCAAATTCAACAACTGGGTGCAATAAGTCGATTTACAACGAATATCAAACAGGCGAATCTAATCGTTGTTAGTCAGATTAATTTCTCTCAGGAACAATCAATATATAGATACTATTGGCGCGATTTTTAGTGCGAAATTCGAATTTCAGTGATTTTTGAAAATTCTGCTTGTATTTAATACTTTCCAATAATATGATAATAAACAAACACGCGCGTTTATACGGTTATACGCCCGTATAAGGTTACGGTTACGAATCCCTTTAAATGAAATGTCTATCGGATATTTCACTGTGAAGAGCAGATATCTCGTTTATATGATTTATGATTATGTTTATGAGTTATGATTATGTTTGTGGATTTTAAATTATAGCAATTTTTGCGTTTATATCGATTTTTTATTCGTAAGTAGTGCTATAAATATTACAATAAACAAACATTCTTTCTCTAGGTTTAAATATTAGATTTTAAGAGTAAAAGTAGCTTTCTTGTTAAATATATATTAGATTATATGCAGATCTCTTTCTTTTGTGTAAAAATAAGGGTGACCTTGAAAATGACCTTGTCGCAAATTTTCATTATCACATTTGTAATCAGCGTTAAAAAATACAAAAAATAGTGTAGTTTCAAAAAAATCGGAGGGTTCACCTATTCGGAACTTTATCCAAAATAAGAAAACAGAATTGCTGTCATATATGTAGCTTTCTTGTTAAATATATATTAGATTATATGCAGATCTCTTTCTTTTGTGTAAAAATAAGAAAACAGAATTGCTGTCATATATGCAACGTGCATTCACAATCAGACGAAACTTTATATAGCGTATTAAGAATATCATATAAGAGCAATTTTACATCGTAATCCAAAGCAAACATGATTTAAAATAAAAGTTTTTATTTTTTTATTAAATCATAGCAATATTCCACCTAATTATATTGAAACCACTGATTATAAATATTAAATAAACTAAGATTCACAAATATATGAAAAATCTAAAACTTTGTGTCAGTCCATAATTATACACAAGGATTGGCATACATCGAATTTTTTCATTTCTATCTCCAATATGACAATACCAATATTCGTGCGCATCGATTCGGATGATACTCTGATATTGGATTGAACAGAAATTTGCAAACGTATATCGACTCCCCTCCCACCTCTCCAATAACATCCGTACGGTTCATCCTCATGACGTAATATAATTTCGGTCTGATAGAACGTCATGTTAATTTTTTCAATTATTATCATTCATAAAAAAAAAGATTTTTAAAAAATTTTAAAGACTTAATTTTTAAAATATTTAATTCTAAACTCTGTGAAAAAAAAATATAATAAAAGCGAGATTTTTTTTATAAAATACAAGAGATATTTTTAGATATTTCTTAGATAATGATCTTGGATACAAAGACCCATATTACGTCTTGAGGATTAGGCATCAGTTGCACAGTGAAATGGACAAATACGTACCTGCGCGACTATGGTGTTGAGCAGCAAGTACCCGAGCAACGCGACGAAGACCGCCAGATTGTGGAAGCCCAACATCGGGTAACTAATTATATGGTAGACTGCGGGCAGCGTTACCGTCAACGGCAGCTCGCCGACCATCTTCGCTAGGTAATAGGCCGAGAGCCGATAGGATCCTGACAGGCGCTCCTTGTTGATCACCTCGCGCTCCGGGGGAACTGGAAAATCGTCATCGTCCCGCGCGCGTTATTTTCAGAATTATCCCCCCGCAGGGGAGTGGAAGCCGCTTATGGCAGACCGGAGGTGATGCTAAAATCGGTTTTACAGCTCGTCAGGAGCTATTCGCGCCGCGCGCTCTAAGCGTTTCGTTTCCCGCGGGATGAGAGACCATAAAGCGATCGCAATCCGTGTGTTACGTGTTCTTTCTCTAAGCATTCGTAAATTACGCGACAATCGGCGTGACAGATGATAATAAATGCGCGCGTGTTTCTCTTAATGTTTTATCTTTTTATTTTATATATCGGTATTTTTTTTTCACAATGAGAATAAGTGGTGCCATTTCATGTCTTGGAAAGAACACTTTACAAACGTCGTTGTTAAAAATATATATATCATCAAAGAATATCTAAAGACGTATCCGATCATTTTTTTCGGGATTTATTATTTTTAATTTTGAATGTATATATGAAAGATATTTGTGGCACTAATAATATTTTAATGATCAGGTATTATAAATGAAATCATTTCTATACAAACTATCGTATTATCGATAGAATATAATAAACATGCGCGAGGAAAAGAAATATAATTATTAAATATCACATTTTTCAATAATTAATATTAAATTAAGTAACTAATGAATTTTACACAAAGACTATAGCTTCAAATTTTATATAACATTTCTATATTAAATTTTTTTTAATTAATTCACAGTATTTTCATTTCTTTCTATCAATTTGCAATGTACTGTATCTATTCTAAAATCTAGAGTATAATTTGTCGAGAAAAGAAGAAATAATATATAAAATTGGAAATTAAAAGAAGCATTATCACTAATAGAAAAATTAAAAACAGGGGATAATGAAGTATATCGTTCCTCTAATTACACAAGATATCTAATATAGATAATTTTAAAATTACGTTAACGAAGCGTATAATTATTATTACTGCTTATTATATAATTATTATTAATTCTTTCTCTTTCTCTCGTCAACTTCAACACTCGTTAATAATTTTTAGTGTATCGATCAAATCGACTCAGCACGGAATTTGTCACGTTCTGGCTGCATGCTAGCTATTAGAGGCGCAAGTTTAAGGACCTCCATTATCGAACACGTAGCAGGTCATAGTATGTCCCACATGCTAATATTCTTGATTGAACGTTCTTTGATCCTTTGAAAATCTTTGCGATAAAAAGTGAACCCGTGAACCCCACTGAATGGCTAATTGAACACGTTACGTTGTGGTCCAATTAGCCTATCAGCTTCATCTACTTTTGCATGCTTGCGTGATGCTTCCACGAGCTTTTACGTAAACCGAGCAAAGCTGGACGCTTATACATATTTGCATTTCCGCAAATATTATTAGCGTATCGCATAAACTTTCAATGATATCGAGAATCATATGATAAAATAGATAAATTAAAATCTAAGAATATCAGAGCATATGGTTATTTCTTGTGCAGTTTTTAAATTTTTCTTAGACATTTTGGCAGCCAAATCTTGAATTAAATATTTTTTAAAGTTAAATTTAATCAAAGAATTTTGAGAAAAAAATATGAACTTTTATATAAACGTTTTAATATTTTTGATATAAAAAATATACATAATTACAATTTTCATTAGGGAGTCCGTCTCTAAAATGTATTCTGCTGGTTTGCCACAAATTTAATAAATTGTAATTGCGTTTTATTCAAGTACCACGTTGATGCAGATATATTGTCGAGATAATCAGTCTAGTTTCTCGCCACAATGGACATTTCATCCTTTTTGAACCGGAATTTCAATTACGCAAATGAGAATTAAATTAAATTCAACTCACAGCTAGAGAGTGCTCCAAAATGTGCAAAAAGCATCCAGTACGTGGTGCTGAAGAACATCCACCCTTGAATATCGTGAAGGGCTGCTTCAGTTCTGGGGAGCCCCAGCCACAAAAGCCCGGCTAATAATCCTAGGGCTACCGTCTGCAACCAGTTCAAACGCGACAACATCCGCGGTCGTGCCTCTTGAAAATTTCTTTCCGATAATACCTAAAAACAAGAACATAATATTCCGTTTGCGTAAGTAGACGTAGATTTTTGCGAAGCGATTGTGTAATTTACTTGCAATTTTTTACTTTAGTAAGTATTTTAAATTAAAGATTATATATATATATGAGATGTTTCTAAATAAGTGCGAAAAATTTTACACTCCTCCAAAGAGGGAGGTGAAAATTAAATTTTTATTTATTTATTTTTTTTTTCGAATTTTGGACAAGTTAGAAAAATGAAATTTGGTGGACATTTTCCACTAATAAAAAGGATACTTATTAATATTTTTTTAATCCTCCTGTATCGTTATAAGGGGATGAAACTAGAAACCCCTATTCAATTTTTTATTAGAACTTTTTAACGGACCGGAATGTGATCTTCTAAAAATATGCGTTCGAAAGCTTGATTCCTTTAGAAACTTCTTTATTTCTTTTATTTTTTTCGTAAAATCAATAGTTCCCAAGGATATTAGTCTAGTTGCATTCGTTAATCGACGCCCGCGATGAATAATGTACAATATACTGATTCGATTCTCTTTCACAGTGAATAACAATATTTTACTTGGCTCGATGAACTTACGCTTACGCGCTTGTGTCTGTTGCAAAAGATACGCTTTAGAAAATATAAATATCAAGATAGTTTTGGATTAATTAATATAATTATAATTTTATTAAGTATAAATATATTTATTATTAATTATAAATTTTATTATTTATCGATATAATTTTCTCTGCTTCTTTATTTTTGTTTTTTTTTTTTCTTATAAGGCAGATAAAAGAGAATTAGGATAATTAAATTGAGATAGGAATTAATGTTAACTGATATTAATATACACAGAAATGTTTTCAATTTTGCATGTTCAAAATAAAATTAACGAAAATTAGTTATTATATTTTTCTTTCTGTTGACAAAATGGTTTTTTTTTTATTTTATATTAGCATTAATATTTTTTTTTTTTTTTTATACTGACATGTGTATCATTGTGCATACAATTATGTACTTAAAGCCTCTCGCCCTCTTCTCCCAACACAGAATAGTATGTCAACCGCTCGAGCAGGGTTAGAGAACGTTTAAGCGAGTAGAATGGCATTGTATCCGGTAATTGCTGAAAACATTCTCAAAGCGTACTCACTTTGAACTGCGACCAGAAGCTGGTGGGCCATTGCCAGGAATAGTCGTCATCAGCAGAACTCGCGCTGCTACTGGCGTGGCTTTGTGTATCCAGCCATAGCGTACGGCCTTCGTCTTCCTTCACTGTAAAGCATCGGAGAAATGGATGTTTAGAATAGCTTTGTGAGAATTGCATCGTTGAATCAATAAATATACGAGTAGGCAGAGATGAAAGGAGAAAAAATTTCTGTGACCATTATCTCACGATATTTTTCTAAAATTAATGTATATTTATTATAGCGCGCTTATTTTATTGCAATATATATTTTTAAATATTTAACTAATCCGTTTGACTTGTGTTTACATAACTCATTATAGTAAAGTGTTTGAATATTTTGCACAAATATTATTATAATGTATTATCACGTTTTTATTATTTTCTTAGATTTTATATGATCTCTCTTATTATACCAGGTCCGATTTTTAGACAGATAACAAAAAATAATTATTTAGACAATTTAAAAAGAATCGACAAAAGCGGTCAAATAAATGTTAGTTATATATAAAGTATAAAGAAATTTGATTTTAATTTTTCAACAAAATAAAATCGAAAAATTAAAGAGAAATTATATACACAATATCGTAGATATTCTATTTATTTTCAGCAGCTTTGATGTCTTTTGTGTTTAACCCGTTAAATATGATTATAAAAATATTTAACTTAATTTAATTTATTACAATTATTTTACGTGTTATTATCGTTTAAAAATTGACCTCGATTTCCCTGCAGCAACCATATTTTTTTTTATGTAACCTCAATTATTATTTTATTAATATATCGTCGAAAGAAAATGTGAAATTATCTTAAATTATCTTGGATCTATTAATATGTATTTATTGCATCCGAATGCACAAAAAAATGGAAAAATAAAAAATTTTCAAGGATTTGTATGTTGCAGAACTGCGAGGTAAATATTCTAAACGTCACCTTCATTGATTCTAAACAGATTAGCTGTCTTAGCGATCTATAAAATGAGCCCTTCCACCGTTCGCGAGATATTCGATCTTTGCAAGTACGCGCTTTTAAGTGGATACATCGGAACCGCAACGGTATCCGCCTGCGGTCGGGGGAAGGTCTAGGTGTGCATACATATATACGTATATCGTGGGGCGGTTGCATACTATATAATACCGTTGTGGCTGATGTGGTGCTCGTGATAATGGATGAGATGGTCGCAGAGCGGATGTTGGCTGGGATTATACTCCGGACGAAGTTCCGGTGGGCAGTCAGGTCCCTGTCTTGCAGCTCTCGCCGCGGCAACGATGCGCTCTCGAACTTCCTCCGGCCCCTTTATTTGTTCCACTAAAACAAGTGTTTCGTACAACGCTGTGAGATCTAGGTAATCTCACGAATTTTCGCGGGAACAAGCCATCTGTTCCGCTCCCTGCAGTATCTATTCCGTTAGTACGAAATAATTATTTCAAAATATCAATGTATAATCAATGTAATATTTCCCGTGTATATTCATTCATATTTATATATAAACATTCCCGGAAATCATTTGTTTAAAAAAATTAATGTGATTTATATTTTGGAACATTGCAAAAAAAAATTAATAAGAGAAAAATAAATCTTAAAAATTAATATAAAAAATATATAAGAGGAAAATAAATCTTGAAAATTAATATAAAAAATATATAAGAGAAAAATAAATCTTAAAAATTAATATAAATATCAAATATAAAATCACATGATTATTTATCATGGATCTTATTATCCTAGACAGTACCTATATTCCTTCTAGCATATAGAATTTGAATTTAGAAATCATAAGTTTAAAATATCGAGAGCAAACTGAAGAGGCAAGGCAACCTATTTATCAAATATATATCATTCATGAGTAAAGTTCCACAAAATCAGATTTGATGTCAGCGAAATGCACTTACGAATAAAGTCTGCGGGGTTGTAATGCGGCAGCAACGTAAGCCCTATCGTAGAGAAGAATCTGCCGATATTCGCCGTCGAACCATAGTATGCTACCTGACCGCGACTCAGTAAAAGAAGCTTACTGAAACTGTGGAACATCCTGGAACTAGGTTGGTGTACCGTCACCACGATGCTCTTACCCTCCTGCTCGGCATACTTCTTTAACCGCGAGATCAATGCCTGGGCCGAGTGCGAGTCAAGTCCGCTCGTGGGTTCCTGAAGTGCAATGAGAGATTCTATAAATTATAGCGAACATAATATTACTATGTTATTTTTGATAATTTTTCTTTTTGGATAAACTTTCATGAAAAATTAATTCATTTATTTATCTCTTCTATTATCTAATATGTATATCCACGCAGTATTAAAAATATATCTTAAAAGATTTCCATGAATATAATGTTTTGTTTCAAACATATGTTGAATTTTTTTTTTCTTTAGATCATTAAAGTCATATATTTTCGTTCTACAAATTTTCAGCTCTCTGCGCATTCACGGTTCTATATATTTTTCATTCGATAATTCACGTTTTTATCGTGAGTAAAATCTTGAATTTGGAAATCTTTGGTTGAATATATTTGGAGATTCTTCGATGTATAAATCATGAGATTTATAGATCTATAATTCCATAAGTACATATTTCATTCTAAGAATCTTCTATCTTAGAATTTCTCTGCGTGGGATTTTAGACCAATAGATTATCAGAAAAGATTGAAAAATTTTTACAGACGTTAGATTCTTCATTGAAGTTAGATATGCGATTTCTCCAAAACTTTCATATAAATTATTAATGTTCGATAAGGTAAAAAGATATGTATAAAGATAAACTTATAATAAATATTTAAAAATAATTATATATACATATATTATATGCAAACGCATTATTCATTAATCTTTCTAAAATTAATTATATTTATTATTAAATTAATTATCAATAGAATAAAATTTTAAATACGCATGCAACTTACGAAGAAAATATACGTAAAAAAACTTACATCGAGTAGCATTAATGATGGATTTGTGAGTAATTCGCAGGCTATACTCGTCCTCTTCTTTTCACCACCAGAAAGTCCCCGCTTCGTATAATCTCCAATAACTATACAAGACAGATATCACATTGACCTATATATATATATATTAACAAAATTACGCTTTTCGCGTAACAAATATTAAATTATAAGTTCAAAAATTATAACTCATCCTTGCATTCATCAAAAAATTGTATTCAAAAATTACAAATGTATTAAAAAACAAAAAAATATTATTAAAAAAATATATTCATAAAATCTGTCAAAGATATATAAAGATAATCGCGTTTTAAATATTTCCGTGTGAGATCAATGTGTTATTTCCTAGTTTGTATATGCAACTGTACTATCACGTCATGATACATAACCGTAGAATTAAATAATAATTGAAAAATAATATTCGACTGCATAAACAATAGATATCCATCACGCAAAAAATATGGAAAATGTAGACGATCATAATTATCTAGACAGAAAAAAAGAACATAAAAAAAATTTAAAGGACATGACATGTATCGAACAATAAAGCGCAAAAGTACGTTCACGAATAATAGAATTACAAGCATCGATGAAAAATCTTTAATAAAGATAATGATTTCCCGTCGAATCGGGAGCATTGGCGTTCAATATTCCGGTGTTAATATTCGAATTTGCCAACACCAGCTAGAGCTAATGAGACGCGAACGCGTGATCTCTGACGCGTAGTAAATTATTAACTTCATCGTCGCCGTCGGTTGCTCACGCCTTCGGGTTACAGGAAGAGAAATGTACGTATAATTGTGCGTGTGTATGTGTGCGTTCGCGGGGAATAATATTTTACGTCACGCGGCCGAGGCGTTCGCTCTCGGCGTTTGAGAAGCTCGGGGGTTAACGATCGAGGAAACAGTTTATCAACGACCAACAATGAGCCCGGCACTACGTACAGAGATACGCGTCTGTACTTTCCCTCGTTTGTATTCCGGAAAATGTCACCGCGCTTCCGCTACATTCAGCTTCGACGTAGCTGAGTAAAACGATACAGGATAGTCGCAAATCCGTGTCTACATCATGCGGGTAAGACCTCTCGTGATTAATTCGCGCAGCCGATTTTTAAAATCTTATTCTTCTCGACTAAAGCTGATTTCTTTTTATCGAGTAAAGGCTTAATTTACGGAAGCGTAAATACTTAAAAAAAATAACGTCGAATCGAATTTTTTCGGTAACAAGAAATCTTTATATATCTTTATGTTAAAAATCTTTATATCGTACTTTGTCCGTCTTTCGTGTGTTGTTTAACACATATGTGGTTATACTCATTGTCAGTGCGATAATTTGATATTCGCAATCGCAAAAAATGTTAATCAAAATGCTAAACTAAGAGACGAGCAATTACGATGACGATAAAATAACGGAGATTAACATAATTAATCTCTGATGAAATCTGCGTTATGATATCAAAAAGATAAAGTTGTTGATATTTATAGTTGTTTATAGAGTTACTGAGAAACATCATGAAACATGATCATGGATTAAATTAATTAAGATAGTTTGTTTTCCGAACAGATAAGCCTAATCTCGATGAGATTAGAGTCTTTAATTGTAGACTCGCGTATTTACATTTAATTTATCTAAAAGATCAAAAGATTGAATGAAAAACACTCATAATGTATAAAAGCTTACGACTTATTGCTTTACACATATGCGTTCTCTCTTAACAAACATAAAGTCGCGCAAAATTGGGTTAAATTGATTTTGATCGTACGCAGAACGAGACGCGAGGCAAATTCGGTCGAGCGAGCCATTAGATCCTGGAATAACGATGCTTCTAACATCGAAAGGCGAAAAGATCGCGATTCGAGCCCGTTGTTTACACCACGTACATACGCGTCTTTTACGACTCTACCGGGAATCAAGCAAATTATATACGATCGGTGGAATCTTCGGATCGCGAATCCGAATCGCGCCGTCCGTCTCGTCGGTCTAAAAACACCCGCCGTGCATCGACATCGATCTCCTCGGCTTTACGGTGCGAGCGCGCGCGCGCGCGCGCGCTCCGTCGCCATCGCGTACTCACTGGTGTCTTGGCAGGCCGCGAGGTCGAGGACCTCGATGATATGGTCCACGCACTGCATCTTCTGCGAGTATGAGAGCGTGTCCGGAAGCCTCAGCCTCGCCTGGTACTGCAAAATTTGCGATGCATGAGACATCGGGGGCGATTATTACACGCGCGTGCTTGTGCACCACGCGCGCCATATACATATATATATATATATACACTCACGGAGTGCGATCGCGTGCGCCGCTGCTTTAAAAACCGCACGCGCTTTATACGGGCCGCGTGCGCGCATTTAAACGGCAACGTAAACAAAACTGCACTGCGCTGCACCGGCAGTGCAACCGCACCGCAGAGACGTAGATGCATTTCCGTTTCGTAATATATCCAGGCCACTTTGTAACTATTATTACCCGTCTCTAACGCGCTACATCGGGTGGTGGTGGGG